GTAAGTGGTTGAGGCATTTACAACTGTAATGTCACTACTAAAAAATATCATCTGTGCAGATCACACGTGTTAGAAGTGGAACCTTTTTAAAACCCAACCTCGAGAGAATAAGTCAAATGCACAGTATCAGGAATAAGATAAGTGCAGGATTTACTTAATATGATATTTTTATCATATATATCAATTGGTACCGGTACGATTTTGGGGTGGGGTTAGCTGATAAAGCTGATAAGAACTGTTACTTTCAAAATTCAAGTAATTAAAATAGAATGCTAAAGATAGAAACAAAAATAGTAGAATGTTTTTCTAAGGAAAGATACCCCGTCCTAACCTAATTAAATATAATATATCCTTTTTTGAAACTAAGGTTGATAGTAGTCTTTGTGTGAATTTAAGATATCTTTATCATGGGTCATCGAGAGAATGAGACGAATGCACAGTTTTAAGAGTAAGATAATTGTAGGAGTTATTTATTATAACATTATTACCATATATAATAAAGGTCACCGGTATGGTCTCTGGGTGGAATAGCTGATAAAAAGTACACTTTTTTCCATTCAAGAAATGAAAATGGAATGCTACATGCGATAGTCGTAGATAGACACCAAAATCGTAGGATGTTTATCGAGGAAAATATAATGTGTCGTAAATTAAGTAAATATAGAATATCCTTTTTTTGAAACTAAGATATGAAATTTTATTTTTTAGGATTGCTTTCAATTTCTCGTTTTCATTTATATTTTTGCGCTGTCTAACAAGCATTTTAGGAAAGACGAAATAAAGATGTTACGAAAAACATATGGAAAATACTGCTAGACTGAACAAAGAATCTGGTAGAAATGCTATGAGAGATCTAATAGAGATCTTTCCGAGAAATGCTTTTCCATCTAAATAGCCTACCACATTCGAGACCCTTTATTATTTATAACGTTTCTTGTCTTTATTCTTTAACCTCAAACTTATCTTTCTAAATACTCTTGTCTAAATAAAGATCTGAACTACGAAAAATCTAAAAAATGCATTGGATCGTATCGCTCTCTCAGCTTATCGAACTGTGTACACTACGAATCTTAAATTTCAGCTCCGTGGTAAGCTCCACCGATTCACGCTGGTCGTTCAACATCTTAGAAATGTTTTTATTTTATTGAAACATTAGTATAAGTTTCTTAAATACACAAATATTACAAATAATAATATAATTTTCTTATATGCGACTTAAAATGTGACAGTAATTTACTTGCTTTTAAATGGAATTTGTCAGCTGTTCCTAATGTATTCTACAATGTTGTCTAATTCTTTTTTTTTTATGTATCTCATAATCATTTTTTTTTTGGTAAATTATTGCAGACAATACAATTATTATATTCTACATATTTCATAATTGTTAATTAAAATTTTTGCGACATTAATAATTTAATATTAATTTTTCAATACAATAGAAACATTTTTAAATAGAGATATAGGATTGAGCCTGCGAGAGAATGAGACAGAATATGTCTATATAGTTTTTCCTATTCTCGGTCTCCTATTTATGCTCTGCTTCGTAGTTGTCGCTCCTGGTTGTATATGTGTGTGTTTGTGTGCAACTGCATACTACGAAGCGTGTACACATATAAAATAATTTCGATACTATACCTGTTTGTAGGTAGGAGCGATAGAAGGGTAGAAAAATAAACAGAGATAAGCACGTAGATATGCGACAAAAGTATAAGGTCCAAACGAAGCAACAGTCGAAATAAAGAAAAAAGATGTTAAGTCTTTCTTTGTAAGTTGTATAAGTGTGTAAGTCTGTGTGAGTCTGGAAGGTTATATATACGTGTCATTTCTTTTCTATTTTTTAAGTGAAAACTTTTTTAGAATAAGGAGTGATTTGAAAAAAATGAAATGCTGGTTCAGGTAACGAACCGGTAGATGGCGAGGCAACAGAGCCTGTTGTGGGAAACTAGGTCAACGGAAAAGGTTGATCTGGAGATTTATGCGATAGTCGTCAATTTAAGTAACAAAAATATATAAATTTATTAACAAGATACAACTAAACTCTTGGACGCCATATATAGGACTAACTTACATTTCGACCGTTACGTTCAACTTGGGTTTAGTTAGTCTAGTACCCGCATAGGGAGGAAGGGCGCCAGTGTGCCGTATCGATACACTAGGCACATATCGCCGCACCTGTATACGAATAGGTATACGGACAGGCAACGGAACAACGGGCCGCTATGCAAGGGCCACGATATTTAGTAAGAAGAGAAATAGAGACAAACATGTAGGATTGAGCCTGCAAAAGAATGAGACACAATATAGCTATTCTATTCTATTTTTTTCTATTTCTATTTTTCTATTTCTATTTTTCTATTTCTATTTTTATATTTCTACTTAAAAATGTTTGTATTTTATTACAAAATTAATATTAAATTCTTTATATCGCAAATATTATAAATAATAATTATTTAATATATAGAATATAATAATTGTATTGTCTGCAATATTTTACAAAAAAAAAAATGATTACAAGATACATCAGAAAAAAAGAATTAGATAACACCGTAGAATATTTTTCTTATACGTATTCAAAGACATGTTTTTTAATTATAATATTTGCGTATTTAGGAAGTTTATACTAATTTTTCAATAAAATATAAAAGTTTTTAAACAGAAGAAACTGGACACGCGAGTGATACAAACAAATAAATCTTAATAGCTATTATATTTCCAATGAGAATACAATAATATAACTTATTTTAAAGATGTAGAAAACAAAATTTTTTTAATTGAAAAAATTGTGAATTAAAACAACAGAAATAAAAAATAGATTTTAAAATCGTTGTGATTCCAAACTAGATGAAACGAAAAAAAAGAACACTATTGTTTCTTTCTTTAACAGCATCTACAGGAATTAGTTGCAACACAAAAAGAAATGCTTGTGTGTGCTAACCCATAATAAAGATAACTCAAATTCAAAGGAAGGGTGAAGAGTGTAAAAGAAAATATTCATCTATCTGAGTTTCAAAAAAAAAAAAAAATATAGTATATTTACTTATTTACTTAATTTACGACGCATTATATTTTCCTCGATAAACATCCTACGATTTTGGTGTCTATCTACGACTATCACATTTAGCATTCCATTTTTATTTCTTGAATTGGAAAAAGTGTACTTTTTATCAGCTATTCCACCCAGAGACCATACCGGTGACCTTTATTATATATGGTAACGATATTATAATAAATAAATCTTACAATTACCTTACTTTTGAAACTGTGGATTCGTCTCATTCTCTCGAAACTTAGATTTTTGAAGGTTTCACTTCTAAAACGTGCGATCTGCACACATGTATTTTTCTAATTTTTTTTCCTATTTCTATTTTTCTATTTTTCTATTTCTATTTAAAAATGTTTCTATTTTATTAAAAATTTATAATAAATTCTTTATTTCGCAAATATTATAATAAATAATTATGAAATACATAGAATATATAATAATTGTATTGTCTGAAATATTAAAAAAAAAAAAAAAGGATTACTAGATACATCAGAGAAAAAAAATTAAAGAACACTGTAGAATACATTAGGAGCAGCTGACAAATTTCATTCAAAAGCATGTAAATTACTGTCACATTTTTATTTTGCCTCTTTATAAAATATATTTGATTCATAAAGACAAAATATGTCTAGAAAATTTGATTTTTATATGTTTTTATAAAAAATATCTAAAGAGATGTACTGACCCATGCATATATGAAAATTATAATATAAATTATGATATTTGCGTATTTAAGAAACTTATAGTAATTTTTGAATAAAATAAAAACATTTTTAAGATGTTGATCGCCCAGTGTGAATCGGTGGAGCTTACCATGGAGCTGAAATCTGAGACTCGTAGTGTACACCGTTCGATAAGCTGAGAGAGCGATACGATTCAATGCATTTTATAGATTTTTCGTTGTTCAGATCTTTATTTAGACGAGAATACTTAGAAAGATAAGTTTGTGGTCCAAAGAATAAGGACGAGATATGTTATAAATAATAAGGGTCTCGAAGTGTGGTAGGCTACAGAGTTAAAAAAACATTTCTAGAGAATATCTTTATTAGATCTTTAATTGCATTTTACCAGAACCTTCGTTCAGTCCAGCAGTATTTTCCATATGTTTTTCGTAACGTCTTTATTTCATCTATCCTCAAATGTTTGTTATATAGCGAAAGAATGTAGATGAAACGGGAAATAGAAAACCATACTAACAAAAAAAATTTTATACCTGAGTTTCAAAAAAAGGATTATTTTTTTTTACCTAATTTCTGACGAATTATATTTCCTTTGATAAACATCCTACCATTTTGGTGATTATTTATAACTATCGCATTCAGCATTCCGTTTTTATTGCTTGAATTGTGAAAAGTGCACTTTTTATCAGCTATTCCACCCAGAGACCATACCGGTGACCTTTATTATATAAAGTAATCCTATCTCTATAAAATTCCCCTGTCACAGTGTTTGTTATTATTATTGTGCGAAACGACTTGACCGATTTATATAAAATTTTTTGTGTATATTCGGTAAGTATGAGAATAGTTTTTCGTATATTTCTTATACCCCTGAGTGATAAGGGTGACCCAACATAATTATTTTTCCTTTAAAAGGATACTAAGAAAAAAGCGAAAAAAAAGACAAATGTTATGTGCCTATATTCAGACAATGTAAAATTATATGATGTGAAGTAAGTGGTGATCTTATGTTACCGCTCATGCGCAGTT